TTTTATGCTGGATACCCAGTTTTGAGTGCCAGAATTGTCTAGAGCGATGCCAAGCTTGTACGCATCATATATTAGTGTATTATCAGGCATTTTTTATTAATTCTAAGCCAATATTTTAACATTTGTTTGATGCCAGTGATAATTAATGGGTATCTCCCTAATTCAATTAAGCATGCAATGTTTGTTGCTCTACTATTGACCTTGAGTAGGAATTTGCAATATTTAATGTGCATTTTTTCCATGGGTGACATGAGATTCATAAAGTATTTTTTATTATTCACAATGTCACCCGCCCAAATTTCACAACAGTATAAAAGAATTGGTTTGATCATTGAGTCAAACATTTTTAAGTATATTTTAATTGGGATAAATGTTTCTGAATATAGTAGCTGTTTAATTTTGAAACATGCCTTCAGTGCCCTATTTTTTCAGATCCTGTTGTGCTACATCAAATTTCCCTGATAAATTTAGTTTCATTCCAAGATATTTATATGCTGAAACTCTTTCTAATTCAGAGTCATTGATTTGGAATTTGAAATTATTTAGAAGCTTGCCTGATTTATTGAAGATCATTGATTTAGATTTAGAAATGTTTATATGTAGCTTCCATTGTTTGCAGTAATCCTGTAGATTGTTAATAGCGTTTTGTAAACCACTACTTGTTTCTGACAAAAGAACCAAGTCATCAGCATAAATTATATTAATAGTTGTACTTTTGGTGCATAAGTTGATGAAAGTTATCGAACATGCGCTTGGAATGAGTTTAGTTTGCTGATTGGGGAAATAATAACCAATGTATCGCTAACATTTACAAATATACTATTGTTTCATTAATTCTGAATAAAACGAGTTATTTCTGTTATTTAAGTCTTTAACAACCTTTGGTGGGAAATTTTGTAAAAGTCACGTGGCAATTTTTATTGAGATGGTTTTTCCCGCTGAAAAATACTCTGGCAACGAATAACAGGAAATGTGATACCAGCTCTGTATTTCGAAAATAAGTCACAATATTTGTTCGTTGTATTCTAAGCGAACCTTATAAAAGTAGTCTGTTCCGACGTTACACATTTGAATGGCGCGCCAATGCAAACTGTGCAGAGGGGCAAACGGCGTGCACAAGGTTGTGTAAACACATCCACTGTGATCGGCCTTGGGTTTGTTTGACGCATTTTCGAATTAGAAGAAAATCCGGATAGTGCTTTCAACAAATGTTACTCTTTGTGATATTTTTTTAAAAACAACATGGATTATTCAAACTAAGCTGTGAACAAATTGTGGATTCTCGCAAGATTCACACCAACGACCTGAAGTATCAGTTTGGTTATCTCAAGTGTTTGATGTAGGCTCACTTTCAAATATGTTCCAGATTAGTGGGAATCTTGCTTGTCAATACTCACAACTGCCTATCAACTGTCAAACAAATATCATTCCATCCTCTTTTACAACCGACAACACCTGCTCTTCAAGTGAAGTGTTGTTTTGCCACTCTCGAACTTTCATAGTTATTGCAAACTTGTCAATTGCTTGATAAATTCCGTCGCACTTGTTTACCATCAAGATCGACACCTGTATGGAATTTCTCCGCCTTTTAAATATTTGTACCACTTTACATCTGCGATAAATTGTTGATGTAGTCTGAGGGCGCTGTTTGCAAGATTTGCAGTACGAGTATACAATTTGTTGACCTGTGGGCATAGAAGCACATTTTACAATTAGTTACAGGACCCTAATAATAAAATGTATGGTCTTAGGTAGTTCTAATTCCCACAATGCATTTGTTCAAGATGGCTACTTACACACGAATGTTGTGAATATCGTCTTAATATTAAAATGCCACTTCATTGAGCAGTGGGTCATTTCCCATGAATTTCAAGACGGTCGCAATCCTGCCAGCTGCAGGGAGTGGCGAACGATTAGGTATTTCTCTTCCTAAACAGTACTGTGATGTCCTGGGACGTCCTATCATCGTTCACACATTGGACAGCTTTCAAAGGTACAACTTGGCGTCAGATCACCGTGGTTTAGTGATATTAAAGGGCGGTGGTCTTCGCGCCGCGCATGTGCGACAAATATTAATTTTTCCATAATCTAATGGCTCTTTTAATAAAAATCACGAGTAGAGTTTTTATCTGGACGTCACGTGCACAAATTTCCACCGGTGACTCCTTCGATACTTTTAAATGACCATGGAAATTAAATCTTAGTAATGTCTCAATTTGTACTCGTTGATCTGCGCAACAGTCAAAGTCACCATCTTTGTACATATGAGTCCCATATCTCACTCATGCATGGAGCGACGGCCACCAAGGATAAACCATAGTGGCGCAAAATATGACCCGAAGTCACAAGACTATGGGGCATCTTACATCATAATTGTTAATAGACTAATTAATATCGGATCCCTAGAGGGTTAATTCATACTTCAATGCTGTAATCCTAGGAAGTAAATTTACACACACCTAATGACTATATGATCAAAATAAGTTGTATTTAATTATTTGGTTTCTGTGTGCTTCTAATGGAGCAAATGCCATAGTTCGTGGCTCTACTGAATTTAACATTGTTATCTTTATTGTAGAATAGAATGGATAGAATCTGTAATCGTGGCCGTTTCAAGTGACAGACTGGACTATATGAAACAGATCCTCTCACAATATTGTCTGACAAAAGTCAAGCTGATAGAGGGTGATATTAGCAGACATCGCTCTATTAAGAAATGCATTGATGCCATCGGTGATAACCATGACAACAAACCAGATATTGTCATTATACATGATGCTGTGAGACCCTTTGCAGATGAAGACATAATGTCACAGGTTGCACTGGCTGCTCATAAATATGGAGTAAGTTCTAGTACTCATCTTGTCATTTAGGAATCGATGATAGAATAATGTAAACATATTTAGATCTTGAGTTGTTACTAAGTCAAATGATTTTATCCGGGTAAGAGCCCATGCCCAGGCAAACGCTCACCCCCACTTTTGATACAATAATGAAATTGAGGTCATGTCCTGTATTACGCCCAGGGGATCTTTTTCTACGCTTGTAATAAAAAAAACAACTATTTTTTTCCGTTGTATTAAGTAAGAGCTGACTTCCTTGCAGTCTGTTATGATTCTGATAAAAATTCTTGAAAAATAATTGTCAATTGTGTAAAATGAGCGGTGAACACACATTTGTAGTTAGTATGGTAAATATTATCCCAAAATTTAAACATAATCTGACTATGCTTTTCATTGTTTGACAAAGTCACTAAAAACATGACATTTACATTGACTTGTTTTATCTGCGTCAAAAGAGATCAGAGATCTTCTGCTTCGGTATTTGCAATAGTTTCTGCATTTAGTAAGTCTGTACACAGACACATTCAAGATGAGTGTATATGTTTAAAATTTTTGGGAAAAAACATTTTTACTTGCAACTTTTTGGGCAAAAAAAATTCCCCAAAATTATCTTGCTGCCTTAAGAGCTTCACAAATAAAATCTAATAAACAACATATCTTTCTTTGTCTGGCCTTACAGAATGTGTGCACTTATGTCTGATAAAGAACCATATGATAAATTTTATAGTGGATAATCATTACTTTGCTATTTACTCTAGGCTTCAGGAACAGTTCAACCTCTTGTTTCTACTGTGATAGCGCCCTCACATGAAGGTTTTTTGGACCATTCGCTAGTGAGATCTAAATACAGAGCTAGTCATACTCCACAAGCATTCCAGTATTCCGTGATCAAGGCTGCCTACAATAAAGTGAGTCAAACATGTGTACAGTCAAAATTATTTCAAGCTTTATAACTTTCAACATTAAACTTTTCAAATGTGAAATTATTTTAAAATATTGTGACATGCATCATGACTACCAATCAAAACAAATGCTCAGATTTGGCTATCCAGGGGGTATAATAGATAATTATTGTATTTTCATAGCCAGCCAAAACTAGGCAATTTTGTTAAATGTATATTTCTTCTCAGACTATTAGATG